AATCAATTTTAAAATAAATTGGGAATGACACAGTATTTATTCCTAGGATTTTTGTGCAGATTAAATGAAATAATACATGTGAAGTATCCATCCCCCTTCTCCATGCACTTTCTTTCAGAGCCGCATATTTTTCTCACTTCCTTTTCCCTGTGCCCAGAATGCTCTTCTTGTTCCCCTTTGCCTTCTCAGGAAACTCTTCCTTGATCTCTTAAGACTTGGTCAGGTTCTCATGACAGATAGATACTCTTGTTGCTATCCCTGTAGCCATCCCCAGCCTTCTTCTCTGATAATGAAACTCTGAGTTCTTTTGTGTTGTGGGCCTACTTTTAGTGCTGAGCCAGTGTGTACGTCTGCTTCCCCTGCACCTGTGGTAGATGCTGGGACTGGCTCTCTCAGTAGCTTTTCCAGACTCTTTTTATCTGCATTTCTGTACTCCAGAGACTGAAAAGCTAAGTATTATATATTCCAAGACTCTCTTACAGATAGGAGAATTGGGTCCTGCCAATCAAACCCATTGGTGCAAAAGTCTGAATTCTAAATTGAGTTACGTTGGAAGAAAAGCAAGCCAGGAGGCATCTGTTTTGCTGGTGTATATGCAACAAAGACAGTGTGCTTCTGGAGCCACTGTGGGGGCAGCTTCCCATTTGGCAGGCAGAATCCAGACCAGGGCAGAAGTATCAGCTGCTTTGGCAGCCCAGGTCTGTGGGATGACTTTGGAAAATTTTCCTATAAATTCAGACCTAGTTTGTTTCATTCCAATGATTCTATAAGTCACTGATAATCTATATATATAAAAGCCTAAGCTACTAGAATGACTGGTCGCTGTGATATGCACTGACCACCAGGGGACAGATGCTCAATGCAGGAGCTGCCCCCTGGTGGTCAGTGTGCTCCCACAGCCAACCTCCCCTGGCCGGCCAACCTCCTGCAGTTCCTCCCATCAGCCAGCAGGCCCCGATTACCTGATTGGGGCTGGCTCCCAGGCTGGAACAGGGAACCGAGGGTAGGTGGCGGCAGATGTGGCCCCATTCCCAGGGGGGCTGAGGGCTGGCTCCCTCCTTGGGGCTGGTGGACAACCTCCTATGCCCTGTTTTTCCCCCCGGCCGGCAGGCCCCAATAGGCCCACCACCCACCCACTGAGGTAGTGGTGCAGCAGTGAGGGAAGGAGGGGGGGAGGCGGGGAACCGAACAGTGGCGGGGTGCCGATGATGTCCGCATCCGGTGTTTGTTCCTCCGCACCCGGCCCGATGACCATCAGCTTCACTCTGGCCCAGCCCTGATCACCCTGGCCCCGATCTCTGTTTGCCGGCCAGGCCTAGAGATCCCACCCAAATTCGTGCACCGGGCCTCTAGTCTATAATAAGCCTCTTTCTTTTTAAACTAGCTGGAGCAGATACCAAACATCCATATATCTTCCTTACACCTGAGGATGACCCTGTGACCCAGTTCTGACCAATGAGAAAAAAGTAGAAGCCTTGGACTCTGATAACTTTGTGAAGTTATCACTTGTGGATTTCTTTTACATGAGGGAAAAACTTCTAATCTATTTAAGCCACTGTAGTTGGGTCTTTCTTATTAGCAGCTGAATGTAATTCCTAACTGATATAGTAAGCAACGAGCAATCTGTACCATAGCATTAAAAAAATATTTGCGGACCAACTGATGATTGATGAATAAAGGCACTGAAGCATGAAATAGGAGTGTGTGTGTGTGTGTGTGTGTTCTACAACTTAAAGTATAATGTGGGAAGTGGTTGGGAGTAAGGGCAGTGATATAGGTAGGGGTTTCATAGGCCAACTTAAGTGGTTAGGCATCACCATTAGATGCTAGCAAACCCTTAAAGGTTCATTCTCAAATGTTAGGTTACTTGAATGCAACAATACTGAGGGCAGGGAAAACTGTTAAATCTATAAATTGTAGGTAAAAAATCGATGAATACCTGTAATAATTATTCTGATATACATTTGTGAATATAAGTGTATTTTAAGGGAAATTTTTAAGTGTGGAATTGCTAAGTCAGTGCCAAATTGTACTTAAAAGAGCTTCCACTCCAATAGTGCAACAGTCATCATTTCCCCATTCTCACCAATAATGGGTATTGTTAATTTGTATTCTTTTCCCTCCACATTCCTCCACTTAATTTTATGTAGGGGAAGGGGAGAAGGCACGAGGATAAAAATAATAGATTTATTTTCATCAAAGACATGCATGCTCAAACATTATGGGTAAAACAAGTTAACTCCAGTATGCCAAAAAATTAGTCATCATTACTTAGCTTCTAAGTCCAATTAACCACCCCCCCCCATTTTATTGAGATATAATTGACATATAACATTGTTTAAGGACTACAACATAATGGTTTTGATATCTGTGTGTTGGGAAATAATTACCACAGTAAGTTCAGTTAAAATCCTTCATCTCACATGGTTACAATTTTCTTTCTTGTGATAAAAACTTTTTTAAAAATATATTTTTATTGATTTTAGAGAGAGAGGAAGGGAGAGAGAGAAACATCAGTGATGAAAGAGAATCATTGATTGACTGCCTCTTGATGCCCTCTACTGGGGATTGAGCCCAAAACCTGGGCATAAACCCTGACCGAGAATAGAACTATGACCTCCTGGTTCATGGGTGGATGCTCAAGTTCAACCACTGAGCCACATGGGCCGGGCTAAAGGTGGATCTTGAGTAATAGCTATCACCTCCCACCATGCACTTCCTGTTCACTTTCGGGAAGGGAGGGCACTAATATAATCAAAGTGCATATTCCTTAGAGTGGCCATAAACCTTAAGTGGAGCTCACATGGTTGGGGAGGCGGGGAAGACCAGACCAGCAGATATTGTTTCTGTCTTGGGTCAAGCCATTCTCACCAGCACCATCACTCTAGACATCGTCCAACCTCTGGTCTTGGTAGTCTGGCCAGAGAGGGAAATGGAACCACCTGGGCCTAGTCCTTCCTGAGCCCCAGTGTGGCTGCTCTCAACCTCTCAGGCCATGTGTGGCCCAGAATTAGCAGATTTTTTGTTGTTCTGGCTTTCTCCTGAAACCAGTTCTCGTTTTCAAGTCAGTCTCTCCTCTATGTCTCAGAACATTACACTTCTAGCCTGATTGGACACTGGCTTCCTCTTTCTAAAAGGAGGATCTGGGAACAGCTTCCCACCTCCCATCTTCCTCCTCTTCCTCTCCTGGTTCTGCCATTGCACACCACTCTTTCACTTGGTGATTGCCTACCTTTCAAAATGACTCGCTATAGGGTCTTACAGTTAGCAAGAGGCAAAGATGTGCTGCATACAGAATAGAAACAATCTTGCACAGGCCTTTTTTATTTATTTTTTAAATATAACTAATTTTTTAAAATTTTTGACCCACACGATATACCCATCTATGTAAAGTATTAAAATGCCTTATAATAGCACACATTTAAAAATTTTTGAGTAATTTCAGAACTTATTTGAAAATAAGAATGTTTAAAATAAATTCTTATTTAGACCTCACATTGTTTTAAATGGCCCCATTTTCCAATGGCCATCAAAATGGACACAAGTGATTTAAGTCCAATCCCCAGAGCTCCCCATGGACATAGTTCTTGGTCCTGAGAGGGCAGGAGGGCAGGAACGCATGAATTTCTTCAGTAACATTCATATGCACAGGAAATGACTATTGACATAATCTTTAAGCCTAATAGTTAAGATTATTCTTCAGTTTGTAATTTAAAAGCTTCTGACAGCTAAATGCTGTGGTATAATTTATAATGAAAGAGTCTGAGTGATTGAGGTGTATTTCACTGAGCTGGTTTCTCTTATGAGTTGAAACTAAGACTTGTGTAAACATAGGGAGGAAAGCCCTCCCCAGGTTTATGTAGTTAGGCAAGAATACTTAATGTCCCTCATTCCAAACTGTGCTGCAGTACCATCTGGGCCGTACTCCAAGTTCACAGGAAGCAAATCTATAGAACTTAAAGGGCATTAATTTTTTTTTTCAGTGAAACAGTCATATATAAGACCACCATCTACCAGTATGTAATAAAAGTACACATTAATTTATTTGAAATATACAATTTTATAATATTTCCCTAGTGCTCCTTTAAAAAACTTGGAATCTTATTTCAGATATTTTATAAGTTACAATAACAACAGAAACAAAACTAAAAATTTTAAAGTGTGGCCCTGACTGGTTTGGCTTAGTGGATAGAGCGTCAGCCTGCGGACTAAAGGGTCCCGGGTTCGATTCCAGTCAAGCGCATGTACCTTGGTTGCAGGCACATCCCCAGTAGGGGGTGTACAGGAGGCAGCTGATTGATGCTTCTCTCTCATCGATGTTTCTAACTCTCTTTCCCTCTCCCTTCCTCTCTGTAAAAAATCAATATATAAAAAAAAATAAAAATAAAAATTTTAAAGTGTGTACCATGGAGAAAGACACCAATAGTATAACTACTAACTGTAAATAATTTGGGAAACTATAGATATCGCAGAACTACTCTTTTTATTACCAAGTAACATATGAACAGATATCCCCAACTTTACCCCGAACACCCACCTACATTGTAGGACTTTTATTTTCTACTTCATTCCTTTTATTATTATTTTATTTTTAAAAAGGGGTATATACTATATACTTTTAAAATAGCTTATTGATGTATAATTGGTGTACAATAAACTGCATTGTGTTTTTATAATCAGAAAAATAAAAATATTTTTAAAGTCTGTTGGAATTCATGCCTCTCAAAAGGCATTTCCTTCTCCCCCCAAATTATCATTATAAAGGAATTTAAATGTATCTCATATCGCTGAGAGAGCTGAGTGAACTGACAGAAATTTACCTTGCAGATTATAGAATATTGTGATCCAAATATGCCCCCTCTCCAGTCTTAACATATACTTTATTTAAAAAATATATAATGAAGCTAAAGCCAAGTAGATATCTACTAGAAAGATTTTCAAATGTACCTTCAGCATTTGTTAAATAGACACAGAGACAGATGCAAATTTAACAGACAAAATTAATTTTCAATTAGTGCTTTATTTTAGTAATATTCTTTATCCTGACCATGCACCATTAATGAAAACAGCATCCTCCCTTGAAACTTTGGGTGAAAACATGCAATTTCTCTCTGATATTTTCCAACCCACCAAAATCTGTTAGCATATTTAGCAATTTACTAAAAAGTTATGAAAACCCATGACAGAAATATACTTCTTTGGCATTAAAACATTTATATAACTGGACAAGAAGAAATAAAAAGTGATACTATAAAAGGCAAAGTATCTAACAATGATTTAGAAAAGTCTGATAATCAACAAGTCATAAATTTCCCCCAATTAAATGCTTTAAGTAAGCACTGTAGCCAAATAGATTAGCAAGAGAGCCATTTTTCTGAAATTCCTCCTATCAAATGTAGTGTTTATAGTTCATTTTCAAATGTAGTGTTTAAAGAAGTTTTGATTTCATTCCTTAAGATAAAAGATTATTCTTAGCACTTTTTTTCTTAGCATTTTTTTAAATAGTGAATGGCTGAATCCATAACTCATTTTACTTTTTATCCCTTTCAGTGTTACATGAGTGAGGAAATATATTCACAAATGTTTAAATATACAAACATTTTGCTAAATATTAATATGTACAGAGTTTTGATTAATACATTTTCTTTTAAAGACACACTTCTGTCACATTACAAGGAGATATTCACATTAAAATAATGAAAGTTACAAACTATCAGATATGAGGCAAAACATGCTGATGTTTGGCTGAATGAACTAAATGGTAGTTTTTGCCTTAAATAGTCTTTCATTTCACTGCCAAAACCTTAAAGAACACTGAGGAGAAAATAAAGTGGTGGTTCAACTGCAATATTAACTCAACCAAGCCCCTTAATGTGCCTTTCTGTTTGCTGATCTTGGATCAAATTCAGCAACTTTAAAAACAGGGTCACTGAGAAATAAGTGAACTTTACATTTGGAAAGTGGAATAATAGAAGACTGAGTAAAAAACAAGGGAAATAAAAGGAAATCTATGTCAGCAGAAACATGACAAAAGAGATTGGAGATTTTTTTTCAGGTGTTTAAAGATTCAGTTTGTTCCCTGACCATTATCTGTACTTCATGGCACCTGATGTGCAGTGTGGTAGGAGAGGCCCAGAGCAGAGGGCCTTCCCAGGCTGTAGGTTCACATCGGGGCGGGTTCAGGAGGGCCTGCTGTGGCCTGATGTATCTCGGGGTGGTCCTCAGACCCCTTTGAGGCACAGATCAGTGGCAGAATTCCCAAATCAGACAGGATGTCTCCCATGTCATAATGGCCAAATAGGTAGACTGTGAACCGAAGCTGACAAGGGGAGAAGGAGCCCGGCCAAAGCTGTGACTGAGGGTCATGGGGGCTCACTCTCTAGGGTGGCTGCAACCACACCTTCTCAGCTAGTCCAGGACCTGAGATTAGGGTGGATATGGAGTGACCAGGGAGGAGGGGGATGAGCCCTGCTGCCCAGTGACACCCATCTGCGCTGCAGGGATTTCCAAAACCTTCTACAATTTGGAATTATCCATAATAATAAAAGGGTAACACGCTAATTAGACCGGACGATCCGGATGAAGCTGGGGGCGAGGGAAGCCCAGGTCCCGGGTGCCAGAGGGAAGCCGGTGCCAGTGCCGGCAGCCGGGGCAAGGAAGGCCTACAGGCCTCTAGTAATTAGATATTTAGTAATCCTCTAGGATGGTGGGCAAGCCCTGTCCTATGAAGCAAACAATTACTTTTTTTTTCCTTTTTGTTTGAAGCAAACAATTTTTAATGTTCCTAACAAGTTTTCTAAGAGGGAACAATAGCTAGATATAGAAGTTACTGCATCATCATATTACCTCAGCAGTCTTTTCACACATACTCAGCTGAAACTGAATAAATGATGTCACACCTTCCAACTGAAATAGCTTCTTAGACCAACTTTAAGCATGGACTGGTTTTTACAAAAATGAAATACTGGTATATTACAAATACAGCTTTTATTTTTGTAAACTAGAAAGACTATCAATAGATACCAGCTTTTCAGTTTGTAATAAATACACTACAGAGTGTATGCATTCTATGGATATATATACAGTTTTTTGCTTTTGTGTGTCTTTCCTTTTTTCCAATAGTTTCTCCTGCATTATATAGTAGTGACTACGTCTCAGACTGAATAGATAAGCTGTGTTTTATACAAGACCATTTCATTTCTCATTTATTTAGATTAGACAGATAAATCTGAAAACTCAACTATGGATTCATATGTAAACTTTCAGAAATGATGTTTGTTATGTCTGATGTAATAAATACAGAATTATTTCATGCTATTTAAAAACAACAGACACCACTTTCTTTCAGCACCCATCAGGGGACAGCCTAAGGCTGTGAGTCTGCTGGCATACTGCCATGATTTGCTTTTTCTCCAGAGACAGAATGCTTCAGAAACTGACCAGTAGCACCGATGTATAATCTTGATCGCATGGGCCATTTCTGAAAAAGAATGTTTAAGCAAGAATCTAAAAGTTAGTATTTATGGCAGTTATAATCTGTAATAATAATAATTCCAAATACTTCAATGCAAATGCAATCTTATATAGTTATAGTTAGTAACAAGTGTAATTATGAAGTCTAAGGGATAACATGAAAAAATATTTATTAATGCTAACAATGAAAATAAAAATATACCCAGACTTTGATTGTAACTATATAAAATAGTACGTGTGCATGTGGGCAAGAAATCATGGAGAATGAATATAATAACTGTAGGAAAATTTACCCACAATGTTTTAATTTCAAACTAAGCCTACAACAAGATCCTTGGCTTTAAAGATATTTTTAAAAGTTATACATGGTAAGTGCTCTCTTCTGCAGCACATATACTAAAATTGGAATGATACAGAGAAGATTAGCATGGCTCCAAATTCATGAAACGTTCCCTATTTAAAAAAAAAATGTTATCCATGGTAAATATTATCTGTCTCTACTTATCAAAGAACTACAGTGAAAGGTGACTAATTCAACTATCTAAACATTTTATCTAGCTAAAAACAATATCTGGAAGTTACAAATATTAGAATGAGACAGAACATCCAGATTAAATGTCTGGATATATTGGCTCTAATCACACAGCTCTAATCTTTCAGTAATCATCACATTGTATTCTAATTTGTGACTTTTTCTAAATTCACCTTTAAAATGAACAACCTCTCAAACAATATAATTGATTACCAAATAGGCATGGTAATGGAAAACCATATTACATAAGTAGCCCTTTCAGAATGGACCTTTCCTTTTTGGGAGGGTGTTGTCATATATCAGTTTAGTTCTAAGGTCCTTGGAATACTATGGGCTAAAATACTTTTAGTTAACCAAAAAGTGCAATAAACAGACCATTTTTATTTGCATTAGATTAATCAAAGATAGATTTAATAGTTAAGCATTTTTAGTAGTGCCTGTAAAATAATGTGTTATGGTTTCAATTATGTATGTAAAACCTCTTTCCTCTGAACCTCCACAGCATATGATTATAGCTCTCTTATGGCACATACAACATTCTCCCTTACATCTTTGTCTCTCTATTCATTCAGGGCAGGGATTGAGCCTTACCCTTAACTGTATTCACTCTGCTAACACAGTGCTTTCTTTGCACATAGTAGGCCCTCAGTAAATGATTTTAAAACAGACTAGTCACTTGTTCAACCACCATCAATTTCATTAAGAGGTAATCTTTGACCTTGTTTCATTATCCCTAGAGTTGTCTTTTAAAATTAAAATAATCCAGAGAGCAAATGAGATTTAGTTTTTCCTAAAGGAGTTACAGTACTACAAAAACATTTGGCACATGAATCAAGTGCAAAAACAAAACAAAACAAAACAACCCACCTCTTGTTAAGCTTATTGTTACCTGAAAATCATGGTTCTAACATTATTCAAAAAAGCACTGCAAGAAACTAAGGTGAAAAACAACTTGATTTATCATCTGAATTACACCTCTCACAGAGAGGCATTTAACAGATGCTTTTTGTAATAAAGTCTACTTAATATTTAAATGTCAAGTAAAAAAATCTATTATTAATATATATTTGAAAGCAATCTAATGCACACCGTAATACAAACCCCTTAATAAGAAATGACTCTTCAGACACAGCTGATTTAGGGAAAGGGGTGGCTAAGGAAGATGGTGTAGGTGAAGGTGGCTGTGTGACCACGTCCTCCCACCCTTCCCACCCTCTAGACAACTCCCTTCTCTACCTATTTTTTGTTATGGCTATAAAGGTATTTCCCCTCTGCCTCACTCCTTAACATGCCTTTACTCTGGGATCCTATTTTAGGCCTGGGGTGGGGGCTCCTGGGGCTGTCTTAGGAGGGGGGTAGGTTGCAGACTGCCTTGTAACCCCTGGACACCCTCACATGGGTTTTTCTGTGTTCTTTCATAAGACTCTTTGAAGTCCAATAAAACATGGAGGAGATTTTATTATTTAGAAAAAAAAAGACTTTTCAGCTGAGATTGGGGCAAAAGTAGGCTTACAGTTGAGTATACCTAACAGTTTATTCTTGTATTATTATTTATTAATTATTTATTATTTTCCATGTGAACAACTGTGAACCTACTTTTGCTCTACACTGTATAAAACACATGAATGGAATAGGAGCTTTCACAATTATAAATAAATGATATTTAAATTGTTTATATTTAATATTTGAAATAGTGTTAGCCTATAATCAGGTTGATTATATTTGCAAAGTAAATTTTGTTACACCTCACCACAGCATTTAAAGCTCAATTAATATTAGAGAGTGTACTTTTTAAACATTTCAATAAAGATTATTCAATAATTTATTGAACACTGATATATTTAAGACTAACTCATAATTGTGTGTGTGTGTGTGGCCAAATACTTCAGAATGGTGGAACCAAAAATTTGAAAGTTTAGGTTTAGGAAATATAAGGACGATTTCATATTTTGAACAGAAAGCCAGATGAATATAGAATTTCAAAAAAATCAAGTCTAGGAGAAAAGGACAATGCAGAGTCTAAATACTGAGCAACCTACCTATATGTAATGTAAAAAAATTATACAAAACGGATTTTCTTGGCTAACTGTCCATTACAGAATTTGAATATAGTATTTAATAAGATCACTCAACGAATATACCAATTTATTATACAGATTACATAAACACATTTTAGTTTTTCTAACACATTTGGTGGCTGTCTAGTCCATGATCGTTAACCTTTATTAAAACGTATTGAAATATACTTTGTGGGGATGCAAAACGGTCTCATTTTGTTCTTACCAGTTTTACAAAATATTTTCAACACTGGTTTCCTAGGAGTACTAAGGGACAGATAACTCCATTACCCCATAGTTCATAAACATTTAATTCATGAAACTTTTCAAACAGCTGGTAAAACGACAATGGAAAAGTAACTATGTAAATTAAAACACTTAAAACCAAAAAGGCTCATAAATATAACTCTGATTGTAAAAATTACCAGGACTTGCAACCGAGCGCCTCATCAGGCACCCCGAGAAACCTCTCACCAGGAAAGGGCATCCTGTGGGTTGCAACCTCCAAGGAGCGTGAGACTCCCTACCCAGCAACCTCTGTTTAAACCTGCGAACAGTTAAACAGTGGGGACCTCGAGGGCCAAGTTCCCTCGGCCGATCTGTCCCCCGCCTCTTTGGGTGGGGCTCGGAGGCAGCTGCCCAGGTGCTGGCAGACCGGGCAAGTCCGGGTGCCCTGCTGCCCGCCCCCAGCTCCGCAGTGTGCCTTGCCCTCCTACCTTGACAGGGTGCAGGTAGCCGTCGCCACGCAGGGCGCCCCAGCCCGGGGTCCGCCGGCGCCTCGGCGTCGTCCTGCAGGCTGCGGGTGAGGTGAGCGATGTAGGTGGTGGCCAGCAGCAGCACGTCCAGCTTGGACAGCTTGGTGTCCGGCGGCACGGACGGCAGCGTGCGCTGCAGCTCAGGGAAGGCGTGCCGCAGAGTCTGCACCCCGGCTGCGCTCCCGCGCGGCGTTCCGCCGCCGCCGGCCGCCCACAGCCCGAGCGCCCGCCGCCGCCCGCGCCCGCCAGCCCTGGCCCGGTCAGCCCGGGGCTGGAGTCTCGAGTGGAGGCGGCAGGGGGCGCGGGCTCGTTGCTGGAGATCAGGGGGCTGCCTGCGGGGCCGCCGCGGTCCATGGCGACGTCCCGCGTCGCGCGCCCTGCAAAGGACCGAGGGCGCAGTGAGCAGCTGGGGCCCCGATGGGGCTAAACCGGGGAGGAGCAGCCCTCTCGCCATCCCTGCGCGCGCGCCCGCCCGGCCCCCCAAAGTCCTCGGGACCTTCTTAGCGAGGAGGCTGCTTTGATTGCAGCGCGTCGGCCCCTGCGTCTGGGGAGACTTTGGGGCCTGAGATTCCTGGACTCCTTAGGAGGCCGAGGAGGGGCGCGGGGCGGGCTTGGCTTTTCAGGGACAAGTTAAGCGAAAGTGCTACTCTGCCGCGGAGGGAAGCTCGGGTTCGGCACTTGTTCGCGCTCCAGGACTGTTATCCTGCCGGCCCCGCAGGACAGATAGTGCTGATCGCTTTCGCGGAGAGCGGTACCCACGGCCGCCGCCCTCGTGCCATTCGCTCCGGAGGCACGGGGCCCGGGGGCGACGGCGGGAGCCCAGGTAATCTCTGCAGTAGGAG